ACACACACACACACACACACACACACACAAACCGAGAACATACACGTGCACCATTTTGTGGTGTATGGCGTGCGCTGCGGTGCGTTGTTAGAACACTGTGCTTGATTTAAAAAAAAATGTTTAACATTAATTTAACTGTGTGGCAGCACATGGCAAAGCATTGTGATGCATTGCCATGCATTTTGATACTCTGTGTTGCGATTAAATGTACACTGGTATCATTTTATCACAACACACACACCAACACAATTTACAGTTTTGCATTACTTAATTTTTTTTTACCATTTCGCAAAAATGTAAAATGTACAAATATTTGTTATTTATTAACTCAATACAGTTTTATCTTTTAGATTTAGTCCGTTAAAAAAAACTTTTTGTGCACTGATACTGATTTTAGTGCTTTTATCAATTGAATTGTGTATTTTTATCCGTTTAATATTGATTTGATAAATATTTGCACAATTATCGCAGAACCTACACAATTAGTAGCACCATCTTTTTATTCTACCGGGCCTGTGCTTTAAAAAAACATATGGTTTGGGGGGTCTTTTACAGACGCTAGCAACGCAGCAGGTAAGGATCAAAACAATGTGAAAATTGCAAAAATGGTGTGCCCAGCTGAGGTTAAAAGCGTTCCGGAGGGCTTGGCAGCGAAAGGGTTTAGGGCTTGTTCACACCAAATGCAGACCAGATCTGCATGAGTTTCTGTACACGCAGTGCAGTGGGTTGTGCCGCGTTTTTTAATAAAAAATTTAAATGGGCTTTCAGTGCGTTCCAGTGCGTTTGCATGCGTTCCAGATCAGGTAAAATAGGGCTTGCTGCAGTTTTTTTTTACATGCTCTGGAACTGAACGCTGCAGTGTGAACTAGAGCCCAAAATACCATTGGAATACATTGGACGCAGTTTTGATGCGGTCTGTAACTGCTCTGCTCCTGGAACACGTTTGGTGTGAACAAGGCCTCAAAGAGAATTTTCGCCCAACCTTTTTTGGCCATAGTTCTCTTTAGGGTTACAGGAGGGCATATACTAATGTCCTCCTGTGACTTAAAACTCAGCATATAGCGGGCTACGCTATATGCTGACAGCCCAGAGCCGCGCTGCAGCCGGGACAGATTCTGACAATATTGACGGGATCCACTCTGCTGCCTGATTGACAGCTGTCTCTCTAGAGGAAGAACCAGCTGTGCCCGCCCCCTCCCCCGTTTGTTCCCCCAGTCAGCGCTGTAGGAATGGAGAGGGTACTGACAGCCACCTCTCTCTGCAGCGAGCAGAGCAGAAGTGTGGCAGCTTCAGTGTCACACGTCGGCTCTAATTATGGGGATGAGTGTATTTCACTCTCCCCATAATTCCCCATAATTTTTCTTTAAGTAGAATTGAAGTCTCTCTTTTTTTACATATATCTACTGCTAAAAAGCAGTAGATATATGCCACAACATTAAAAAAAAAAGTTGTCAAGAAATGTAATGTGCTGGTCTGTACTCTCTGCCAATGACATCTCAAGCAGTCTAATCAGCCCTCCTAGTTTGACCCTAAACTACAGAACACCTCGCTATGTTTTTGAAGTTGAGGAGAGCAGATGGTATCCCTTATTTCAGTAGAACACAGCCAGGCAAGGGGGATGTAGGAGCCGAGTGCATTTCTGCCCAGATCAACGTGTATTTTTTTTATACTTGCAGTGTCTTTCAATGGATAAAACATAGAGAAATGTGTATGTATTGCAGAGATGTACCGCATATGTTTTTTTTTTTTCTTATTTTGCCCAGTCGTACCATTTAAATTCCAGCCTCAGCTAAAAATTCCGATTTAAAAGGATTGCACTGTCTGTTGAAATGAAAGATTAGGTGGTGTGTCTCAGCTGTTTCAGATATAGTGAGAGCAGATGTGTTTTAAAGAGTACAGAAGTGGGGTTAGTCACGAGTTTGTAATTTTATTTCACATTTTCTTTTATGCAGTTGGATCAGACTCTCCAGGAACACTTTCCTATCTATAAATCTTTCCGCTTGAAAGGAAGCATCGGCCCAGTGCGTGTTCACCTGACGAGTCCCAAAGCATTTCTGAATCTAAAAGAACTGGTGGCAAATCTTTCTGGTGTTCCACTGGACTGTGTTCCGTTTTCTCGCACATTGAAATACCAAGAACTGGCTGAATGTATATGGAAGCAAGTCTTATCCTGAGCCCTTCTCTAGAATGCAGAGTCATCTGAACTGTGAGCTGTTTTGAAAACATCAAGGACCAAAATGAACATAATTTCTTCTACCATTCACCATGTTATTATTTATAATGTATATGAGGTCTATAGACACTTAACCACTTAAAGCCCGGGGTGTTAAACCCACTTCCCGTCCAGGCCATTTTTAATATTCAGCGCTGCAGTAATTTGACTGACATTTATTCAGCCATACAGCGCCGTACTGAAATTGATTTTTTTATCATTTTTTGGGGGACAGATAGAGCTTTCTTTTGGTGGTATTTAATCACCACTTTACTTTTTACTATATAAAGGAAAAATTCCCCAAAACTTTGTTTCCCCTATATTAAGTTATGAAACATTTATTACAAACCAATTGGTAAAATATAAAAGACGGGGTGACGTCGGGTAAATAGACACCATACATGTCAAGACTTAAAATTGCGCACACCCGTGCAACCGCAAAAACTGCAAAACCCAAGATTGCCCATAGACGACTATTTGAAAGCTTTTACCGTTCATCAGTTTAGTGTTATCAGTGATTGATGGCCCACAGGAACCCCCAAAGCAGCTGATGAAGCACAGATCTGCTTCACCAGCTTCTTCTCTGGCTATAGCAGCCAGAGAAATGACAGCTGAATGCGGAAGTGATGTAATACACACAACTTTCGCATTCAGGGATAGGAGAGGAGTTCAGCAGGTGGGAGAGTGCTGATCTCACTCCGATCTTCATGCTGAGAGCCGCTGAGTCGGTCCCGGGCTCGCAGAGAGGAAAGCGGAGACCGGGATAGCCGGAAACGTTGGTGGAAGGGGGGGCACATCTAAGCAATCTGATGGCTATAAATCTGCCCGAACGCTTGCATGTAACAGCCGTTACCGACTGTTTACACCTGTCAGTGTGTTTTGCTTGCACGCACTATAGGGGTTGTGAGCGAGTAGAAAAAAAAAACGTATATTTACGGTGCTCCACTGGAAGAAGCTTGCCGTCCGTCCATTTATTTATTACAATGGGCGGGTAGTTAATGGAAAGTATAGTGTAGTTTCAGTGAGCAAACATTTTAGGTAATTTTTGCACTGTTCACCTAAACATAACGTTCACTTTTTTTTCCTCCATTTTCTTTCAGGTTTTTGTTATTTTATGTTATTGTATTACTGTATTTAGAGAACTGTAAATTGTCATTCCCACTTCAACTGTGGGACAGCCAACTGATGTGGCATATTTATAAAAGCACTGAATGTGATGTTTACCAAACATTCACAGGGGGTTACTCATTCCCTCAAATGTAAAATACATGCTCCAGGAAGATTAATATTTGATCAATGTCATTTTTACTGATTTATTAATATTCCCCATAGATTTTTGTGTATGGGGCATATTTAAAAGGAGAATGAGCAGTAAAGCACAGCCTTTCTGTAGCACTGCAAAACTGAAAGCAGAACCTATGTGCCACTGTACCTCTGTGAAGCTGCAACAGCACCAGGCAGACACGGAGTGTTAGAAGAATAATAATCTTTATTAAAAGTCTTGATTATTAAATTAGCTCCAGATCCTCGTACAGAAGTCTCAGAAACAAAGATAACCAAATCAGGCTGTGCAGTACCCAGTATGAAGTACAGGGGAAAACCGTTCCAGTACCAGAAACTCAATCGAGTTAGGGTACAATTGGGGCAGCTAATGCCAGGCGGGTACTCACTGCATTGCAGACAGGTGTTACATTTCCATATGCAAGAGATTAACCACACCAAAAAGCCAAAGGTTCATTGGGTCCGGAACCGGGTTTAACTGTCTTACTCCGGGACCCCGGAGTGTCTCTGCTGTTCCAGCCTGCAGGAGAAGATCCAATAATGAAGCCAGTAAGGTGGAATCAGTAGGCTGTCCATTCTGTGTAGTATCTAGTCCTCCAGGTTAGTAATCCACCAAGTCCACAAGTAATACTAGATAGTCCATAGGAAGGGTGATCTCTGGGTTATGACATGGAAAGGGCGCCGCAGCTTGCCACCTTCCAGCTGATCCTCAGAATCTCTTTGTCCAGTTTCAGCAACACACAAACCATCACAACCCCTGACCATGTGGGCTTTTGGGCTTTCTTCCTTCGGGAGTGAACCGGGAGAGAGTCTGTGAGTGAATAAAGGCCGCCTGCATTCCCTTGTTTACTAGTAGTAATGCTCCACAATGTTCCCTGCACCCAGGTACTTGGAAAATCTGGACTTCCAGAAAGCTGCAGGCTAACCTTCAACTTGTCCCAAACCATGCAGATTTTGTCACACTGTTTATATGAATTAATATGTCTGCCCTACAGGGCTGTCCCTATAATGAGGCAGCCTGAGGTGATTGCCTCAAGCGGCATCTCACTGGGTCACGTGGAGGGGAGGGGGGCTGCCGTGCTAGCGGAATTGTCGTTGATCTTACAAGCTACCTCCGTCTCCTGGTGCCTTGTCCGGAGAGGAAGCTAGGGGAGCAAGTAGTTACAGACCTGTAAGTTTAACTTCAATAGTTGGCAAGATACTTGAAAGTTTGACAATTGTTTTTGCTTGAAAATAATATAAGCGATAGTCAGCACGGATTCACAAAAGACAGAAGTTGTCAAACAAACCTACTTTCTTTTTATGAGGAAGTGAGTAATGAAGTGGACAGAGGAATGGCTGTGGATATAATATATTTGGACTTTGCAAAAGCATTCAACACAGTTCCTCACATGCGGCTAATGTATAAGTTAAGGTCAGTAGGTATAGAGCATTCCATCTGTAATTGGATAGAATACTGGCTTGAAGACCGTATTCAGATAATGGTGATCAATGATTCATACTCTGAATGGTCTGAGTTTGTTAGTGGTGTCCCCCAAGGTTCAATGTTGGGCCCCTTACTGTTTAACCTATTTATAAATGACATAGAATTGGGGGTTAAAAGTACTATTTCTGTGTTTGCAGAGACACCAAGTTATGTAGTGGAATACAGTCGGGATGTCTCCAACATACAAGCAGGTCTGAATGCGCTGTGTGAATGGGCATCTACGTGGCAAATGAGGTTTAATGTTGAGAAATGTAAAGTTCTGCACTTGGGGACTAAAAACATGCATGGGTCATACACTCTAGGGGGAGTATGTTTGGGGGAGTCAATGATGGAGAAAGATCTGTGTGTTCTGGTAGATCATAGACTCAATAATAGCATGCAATGTCAAGCAGCAGTTTCTAAAGCAAGCAAAATACTTTCTTGTATTATAAGGGGTATAGACTCCAGAGACGGAGACATCATCCTGCCCATGTACAAAGCATTAGTAAGACCTCATCTGGAATATGCAGTTCAGTTTTGGGCACCAATTCACAAAAAGGATGTTGTGGAACTGGAGAAAGTGCAGCGAAGGGCAACTAAACTGATAAGAGGCATGGAGGAAGAATTAACTGACCTGAATTTGTTCTCTCTGGAGAAGAGGCAATTTAAGGGGGACATGATCACCATGTATAAATACATAAATGGTCCATATAAAGAGCTTGGTGCCAAATTATTCACTTTAATGGCACTGCAAAGGACAAGGGGGCACTCCTTGTGTCTGGAGGAAAAGAGGTTTAACCATTGCATACGGAAAGGATTCTTCACAGTTACAGCTGTGAAAATGTGGAATAGACTCCTCCAGGAGCTAGTTCTAGCTAGCTCAGTTAATTGTTTAAAAAAAAATCTGGATGTATTCCTAAATGCACAGAATATTACTGGATATTGAGTTATTATAGGTATATTAAGCATCAGATTGTTGATCCAGGGAATATCCAATTGCCTTATGGGATCAGGGAGGAATTTTTTTCCCCTGTTGAAGCAAATTGAACCATGTTTTTATAGGGTTTTTTGCCTTCCTCTGGATCAACAGGGGGTAATTGTGGGCATAGCGTTCTGTTTAGGCCTTTCCTCTTTTTTCTTCTTTTCATATCTCTATAGTACTAACTATGTAACTATCTGACGAATGATTGTACGTTTTTATAACCGTTTTTTAATAAACATTGTCTAAGGATTTTACACGATATGACATTTTATTTATTTTTCTGAGTAACAATGGCAATGGGGAGAGGAGATATCTGTGAATTGTGATTGATAAGGGAGATCTGTCATTAATGTTTTGTGAAAATGATCGTGGATCGACTAAAATCTGAATACGAGTTGGGGGAAAGAAAGGATTTATGAGGAAAGGCTGAGATCGGAAACCTGTTTTAAGCGCTTCTGACCAAAATGTATTGGTCCATCAAATCTGGTGAGTGAGGGCAGTACATAGAAACGCCCAGAGATTCTTGTCTAACAGATTCTGGAATATCTCATATAAGAACACACTTGTGGTGGCCCGTTTGGAGTTATCAGAGGCTTTTTGGACTGTTTATAATTGCACTATTTGGAAACACTTTAATATGCTAATTTGGCGTATTTAAATAAGGAAACATTTTTATTGTCATTTTTTATTGTTTTTTTGTTTAGTTGCACCTTTTTGCATTGGGTTTTGTTTATTTATGATAGGTTTTATTAACGCAGTGTGATTTGAGTTTTTTTGATACCTGCCGAGTATTTTATATACACCATTACACCTGCTGCTTTATTGGGGTAATTTTTTTGGGGTGGGTAGGAGTGAATTAGGAGCACAGATATATAGAGAAAATATTTTATTTAAAAACAACCTACAGCATTTTACATTGTTTTATCCATATTTCAACAGGGCCGTCTTTAATATTGATTGGACCCTGGGCAAACATTTTCTTGGCCCCCCTGCCACACCCTGGCCGGCGCCATGCAATATTGCCGCTAAATGCTGACAGCACAGAGCCGCGCTGCAGCTGGGAAAGATCCCGACAATATTGTCAGGATCCACACCGCTATCTGATTGATAGCTGGTTCTGCCTCTCTAGATCCAGAGCCAGCTGTGCCAGTCCCCTCTCCGGTGCTGAAGAGGCGTCCGGTGCAGACACAGCATTAGCACTAATTTATGGGGTACAGGGCCCCACAGGAATGACTGGGCCCAGGGCAGTTGCCCCTTTTGCCCTGCCTTAAAGACGGCCC